ATATATATATATATATATATATATATATATATATATATATATATATATATATATATATATATATATATTGAAAACAAAAGGTGTATATTGTTATATTTCTTATCTTGTGTTTGACGAGATTACTAACATTGTTCAAGTAACAAGACAATTTTAGCAAATAAACGAATACCCTGCACCAAACATTACAAAGAAATGAGATTTCAACCACTTAAAAATCAAATATAAAAAAACAACCTATTTTTTAAGTGTAAATATAAATATTTCCGACGTTAAAAAAATAAAAATATCCTCATAAAATAATCATAAATTTGAATAATAATAACAAACAAATACCCTACAAAATTAACAATTACATTTAGAAGTTGGACAATTATGGAAATTTAACCATTACTCTTTGAAAGAGCTTCTACATAAGCCTTCTCCAGTACATATAAAGTGGTACTTTTGTTGTTAATTCGAAATAAAAAATGTTTCACGTTATTAAGAAAGTATGAATTATTATTTTTCTACTTAGATAAGTGGGTTTTTATATAACTAAAAAATCATATTAAATATGTACAATTTAGTTTAACATAAGTTAATACAAACATTTTTACTAACTAAAAAATCATATTAAATATGTATCGAAATAGTATCAATGTTCTTTGACTTTGAAATCATGTCACAATAGTTGAACTACGATTAGCTTCCATTCCTCTTCTATCCGTCAATCAAATACTAGTAAAATTGTTTTTGCAATTCTCATAATGTGGAAAAATAAAATTAACACGACAAGTTCCTCTTTCTATAAAATTAGTAACATTTTGCTGTGTGTAGCATAAGAAGGCAAGTTAACCAATGCTAGTGCCACCAATTGAGACGGGGCGGACTCACGTGATTCGGTTGAATCCCCTTGATAAAAAATTACATTATATATGTAAGATAAATATTTTTATATTTATGAAGATATATTAGTTTTAAATTTCCTCATCAATGTAAATCTCCTTTTTAAGTTGATCATAGTGTCAAGTCTCATTATGAATATTTTATTTATTTTAGCTTCTCTTCCTTTAATTTTGAGATCAATCTTTCGTTTTATTATTTTTATAAAAAATTCGTACAAAAAAGTAAATTTCGACTCTAAAATTTCGAACCGTGCTAAACGGTCTCCTATAATAGAATGAACTTTTTATATCTATAAGTTATATACTACTATTTCCTGAAAATTGTGTTTTATTAACATATTTATATATTTACACTTCTATTTTTTAATATCGTAAATTTATCACTGACTATTGAGAACTGCTTTCTTATTAACTTAAAGTCTTTTATTTGTTTTATCATGCAATGTCTTTAAACTCAATTAAGTTTAGATGCACAAACCTACATTGACGGACATGACACTTCTTAACAAATGCAACTTATCCAAAAAAGTAATCATCGCTTTACCATCATCTTTGATCATAAAGTTAACCTAATTATTTAGATACTAAATCTTAGGAGTGTGCATTTGTCTGTTCGATTTTATATATTATCGATTTTCAGTTTTCAAGTAACAAAGTAATAAGAAATTTTTTATCGACTTTTGATTTTTCGATTTAATCAATTAAAAAATACTTATAAAAAATTAACGCAACAGCACAATAATATAAAGAAAAAACTATACAAGTATGACACAAAGAGAAATTAAGAGGAATAAGATTCTTACTTTATATTTTGATATTTTTATATAATATGAAGTTGTGAATTAAAAATTACTTTACTGTATGGATTGAAGGCCAAAGAATAAAAATAATAACTAACAAGGTATTGAGATTAATATATATTAATATTTATATATAAGTTAATATAATAAATTATTAATCTTAATAAAGTTTTGATTTATTAAATATTAAAATTTAATACTAAATTGATAATTCAATAAAAACAAAATTATAATCATTAAAAACTCATTAATTCAATAAGTCAATAACAACAACTTGACAACACTTTTTTCATTTTAATTTTTTCGCACCCTTAAATTCGATCCATAAATGGAGGATATTTCTCGTAACTCAATTCTCTTGAGTATTACTGTAGTTTCCTCCAATAATAGGGGCAATACTGAACGCTCATGTGATTGCATGTCAGACTTTTAGCGCCCCTAAAATCTAGTGACAAGTGACCAAAATTCAGCGCAGTCTTTCCCCGTTGTTCCAAACTAGTGCCTATCATTATATTGTTAAAAATATATATTTTTTATTATTATTTTTTTTATAATTGTTTGATAGATATATTAAAAATACATATTTAAAATTAATTGTTAATTTAAATGATAAAAAAATAATTAGTCATCCTTTTTTAAATTTGTCTTTAATGATAGTGTAGTTTAATTAAAAAGTTATGTAGATTTTTAATATTTTTGGTATGGTAGAATTATATTAGTCAAATTACACTTTGTATTGAATTTTTATTGAGGGGTGTGCATGACCTTAACATGATAAATAATTGTGGACAGAGAGAGTATTAATTACATTATTTATTAAACTAAAAAGAATATTGATTAAGTTTTTTCTATATTATTCTTTACAATAAATTACGCTTAAAGTGTTTATATTTATTTATAAAATTTCTAAAAATAATTAATGAAGCGCAATAATAATTTTTAGTCATTTATGACTTTTGAAATACAATATAAAATAAAAAAATGATCAACTAAAATAGTCCAAAAAGTACTCCCTCATTCATTAATCCTTGTCTCTTTGAAAAAATTTAACTAAAGGGTAAAGAGCAACTTAATTTATTTATTTTATGACCATGCTAGGAAAACAAAATTGCTTCAAACTACGTTCAACATAATAATAATATATATATATATAACGCGTGTATGCCACTGCTCTCATGTCGCGTGGATTACGTTATGTAATTTGCCTTCGTTACGAGTCCATAAACTTTGGAAGTTCTTTCCGATTCCTCTTACAATTTAGAAAAGCTAGAACCGACTTTTCTTTTACCTTCATCCTCAAATTTCACTAAAACCACTATTTTGCCATTGATTTCACCCCTATATATACCTCTCCCCCTTCCGTTCTTAAGTTTGCCGAAATTTATTCAGTGAAGAACTTCTGTTAAACAATGGAATCGTCATCGTCCAAAAACAAATTGCACCATAATTATCAACGATCCGTTTCACCATCGGGTCGGTTCTGTTCTTCCACTATTTCTTCCTCCACCTTCTCTGCTCAAACCTCCGATTGGTTAACCCGATCCACCTCCCCAACCCGAGTTAATCTCCGTCGATCAGTTTCCCCTTCCCCGTCCGTACGATTTTCCAGCTCTAATAACCGTTCGATTTCAGTTTTCCCTCGTAAGCCGCAGCAGAATAGACATCCATTACCTTCTTCTTCCAATCAGAAGAAGCACTGCACGTGTTCGCCGACAACACATCCAGGTTCATTCCGTTGTAGCCTTCACAGAAAAACTACTAATCGGAGTGACGGTCAATCGTATCACTCGAGTCATCCATTGAATATGAGGAGATCAGCGATGACGAATTCGCTGGTTCGAATTGGAGCTGTGGAAGGTGAATTGGTGAAGAGAGCACTTGCTGCTTTGATTCGACCGTCTTCTCATCAACTCAGGCGTAGATGTGATTTTCAGCCTAAGCCTAGTAGGCTCTCCGTCATGTCAAAGGCCGAAGATTATATTTGTGATGTACAGTTACTGTAGTTGGGTTGATTTGCCCCCTTTTTATTCTTGTTCCATTTCAGCCCTAAAAAAACAGAACCATAATTTTGTACGATTTGATTGAATGTGAATAGGAAACAAATTTAGCATATATGTATCAAAATTTAAGTGGCGTAATTGTCAGGTGCCATTAATTTAGTGCTATTTTTTTTTGGGTGCTTTTTAAAGTCGAGTTGGTTGAACTTTTTGAATGGTAGATGCAACTGTTCCTAACTCCACTGATTCAAGTGTGTTTTGTTACAATTAATTAGTAAATATTTGTTTAGTTTTCTTGTTTAATTATCAGGGGTTGGAACAACTTTGATCTCCCTGAACTGATTACTGATTTTTTTTCTTCTTTTGGTTCATAACTACAACATAGAATTCAGTATGTGATAAAATTGGGCTTAAAACAAGAACATAGAATTCAGTGTGTGATAAAATTGGGCTTTCGCCAAGCATGTTGTTTCAACAAGATGGTACCAAAGCACAAAAAGAGAGATCAGTTGCTTCATGTGGAAAAAGGGGCAAATATATATGTATCTTCAACTTTGAGTTTTGGAGCAGATATATCATTAAAAAGTGATGTATATATAAAACAAATGGTGCAAGTAGAGATCTAGAATTAAAGAGTTCAATGGAACATACTCAATTAGTAGTGCAAAGTGCAGAGTCATCTTATTACGCATTCAACAGAACTCAATAATTTTATCTCAAGTTTTATATTTAGTAAGCAAAAAAAAATTGTGAACGAGAACTCATAACTAGAAAATCTCGACTCTACCTCTGCGATTCGCAAACAACTCTAGTAGGAGTTTCTTGTCAATTAGCAGTTGCCAACTCCGTATTCCTCTTCAACATAGCTGCTTTCCATCTTGTAAAGTAATTTCTTGAATGGCACAACAGCAAAATTACAACAAATTGAATCTGGTCGACGAGTCCACATTTTTAAGCGCTTAGCAACAAGTTTATTTGCTTGATTTATGGCTACTATTAACCATAACCTATGGTTTCTTGAACTTTGAGGGGTCATTTGATAGAGGGATAAATGATAAATAATAATGTCTGATAAAATTTAACTTTATCATGTATTTGGTTCGAACTTCGAAGTATTAGCTAATTCCGTGACTATATTATCCTATCATTTAGGCTGAAATGGTGGAATTATTAGATTATTATCTCAGAAGGTGAAATAAGATAATCTCATGAGATATTTTTACTTATCTCATCTCACGTACTAAACAATCTCCGAAAACAATAAAAGAGAAAATGTGTTGTTGAGTGTACTGAACAAAGTCTTACATATGGAAAGCACACAAGACAAAAAGAATCTCTTGTAACACGTGGACTAGTGAGTCTGCTTTTGGAGAAAATTGTGTGAGCTTGATCAAAATCGACGATATAATTTATTTATTTTTGTCTTTGCCATCAGTCACAGCTTGGAAGGGGGCTCTGTTATGGACTTCTTGGTCACTCTAGCATAGATTTTTCTTCCACAACTATTGTCCTTTTCCAAATAAAAGAAAGGTATACATTTTAAACAAATAAAGAAATTATTGTATATATATGTCCACAACACAAGGGGTTTAGTGAGTAAAGTCTAAAGACGCTTAGATCAAATCAAACAATTTAAATTTGATGGTTAAAAATTAATAGTATACTCTATTTTATAGGTACGTGAATGATTTGATGAACTAAATGATGATCGAATTACTCTATTATCTTTTTTCTTAAGCGTATAAATAGAATGCTGCAATTTGTTTAACAAAAAACAAGGCCAATTTATTAGTTAAGCAAAAAGAAAGAAATTGAATGACTTTTAATAAGCAAATTAATCATTGACGCAACATTAACAACAACATATCTAATATAATGTTACAAGGTTAGATTTAAAAAAAGTAAAGTAAACGAATACTTTATTTCTATCTTGTAAGATAACTGATAAGAAAATTATTTATGATAATAAGATAAACAGATTAACAAAAATAATGATTTTACTAGATTGAAGTCTAAAAAGAAGCAAATCTCAAAAATGTTAATCACAAATCAACTTTAATTATAGTTGATTGATTAGGAAATATATTACATATTATTGGCTTAGAATAAAAAGAATAGATTTGCGCTCTTAGTGGATCTTGCAGATAGAATTGCAGAAGTATTATAAACCTTACAGGTTCCATTTTCTTTTGACTTTGGTGCAGTAGAGTAAAATTTAATGCTTATTCATAAATTACTTTAACTGTTAAAATATTTTTTCACATTAGTTTTCTTTTTATTATAAGTTTATAACTATGTAACGGATAAATTGAAGAGGAAAATTGAGAAAATGACATAAGAGGGTCCATTATCTTTGATAGTAGAGTAAAAGTAGTCCTTTTAAGTATCAATTAAACAATTTTGACCCTTTAAATCTCGAAAGTGAATATTTTTAATTTTTATCAAATATTATCAAACTTTCTTTATTAAATTTCATCAGAATTGTAAAATAAATCGAAAAACTTTGGTCAAAGTTCTAAACCCCCAATGTAAAACACTATATCAAATACATAAGTAAATAGTAAATAACAAAATTTTCATCTCAAAAAGTTACATCAAACTCTTTAAACAAACCAAAAATAACATAAACTACAAAATTAGTACTTCTCAAATATGAATTCCTGCTAAGTATTTTTTTATCATAGTTTGGATTAAATTTAAGCTGTGGTAAAGTATAAGTATTCTTAAACTATGATCAATATTTCAGAGACACATCTTATCTAAGCTAATGTTCTAATACCCCGATTCTTTTTTACAGTTTTATGCACCTTTTGGCTTACGTTGTAATTGATACATTCCTTGACTTAGAGAGATATTACAAAACTATGTAAGTTAAAAAAGTGTATATAATTATAAAAAAAATAGAGTAAAAATAATAAAATTTTAATTTAATTAAATTATGTCTCTAAAATTTTAGTTATAGTCTAATAACTACTAGAAGCTAGTGCCTTATCCCTATTTAAGCTAGGAGAATTTATCGAACATTGTATTTATGAAACTCAAAGGGTTAAAATAACTCAAATGAAACTCAGAGGATTATTTCAAACTTACCACAAAAAGATAATAGACCATTTTGTAATTTTGGAAAATCAATCGACATATTTACAGTATATATTGGGTCAAATTAGATAAAGAGCATTGTCGCATTTTCATTGCTCTTTCTTAGCGTTGACACTCTCCTTCTTCTTCACTGTTGCGCCGCCGCTTCATCCTCAAACCCTCCTCAGTACGACGACGTTTTCGTCTCTCTTCATAGCCAAGGTAAGTCTGAGATGGCTGCCAATCTCGGGTTTTCCGATTGCTAATGCCCAAACCTCGTTTATTGTGTTTTTCCTTTCAATTTATCTTTTTTTCTGTTTTGGGTGCATTGTGTTAGATTTGATGCTTTATTTAATTTCATGTTAATGGGATTTAACGGGGGCTTTGTGTTACATTATATGAAGCTTTTTTATATGTTTAATTATGTAGCTTTTTTTTTTTTTAATTATGTGCTATAAGGTTATTATGTTGTTTTGGAGTGTGCTAAAACCCATTTCTTTCATTATTGTCATGATTTTAAGTCTGACCTGTTTAGATGGGCAAAAGTTTAAACCTTTTGATGTAGGACCTTCTCGAAACTACATTTTGGGCATTATTCATAGCTAGCAGCTTCTATTTTGAGTAATTTAGTAATTTGTAGTGTTGAAAGGCAGATCTGGATGGAAATTTTGATGCATATATTGATAAGGGTGCAAAGTTTTCATATTCTTGAATGGATTGATAAATCAAATTAATAAGAAAAAGAAGTATATGATTATTGTCTACTTCTGCAAGGTGATAGTTCTCTGTTTTGCTGTTAAATAGTATATTGGCAATTTGGAGGGAACATTATTAGCTGTCGTTTGAGGTGTTTGCTGCCATGGCTGGTAAAGATGGAGATAGTAAGTACTTTTCACTTGCTGATTGCTTTTAACACAAGTTTTCTTTTCTCACTCTTCAATTTTCGAAGTCTGCACTTTGTATAATATTATCATCTTGCTTTTGTTTAGAGGGAAAAAAGAAAGAAGGCAAGAAAGAGGTAGTTCATGGAAAAAAGAAAGAAGTCAAGAAAGAGACAGGTCTCGGTCTCTCTTACAAGAAAGATGAGAACTTTGGAGAGTGGTATTCTGAGGTAAGCTTGAAATATTCAACTATTAGAGATCAAATGTATCAAGGTTCTTCTTTATTCATTTTGCATTATACCCAGAAAGTCTTGGAAGAGTTTCCACTTACTTTTAGCTATCTTCTTCTTCTTTCACGGCTTAAGTTTCCAGACACTTTTAGCTATGAGTTTCCGGAATTTTGTTATCTTATGTCGTATCCCGTCTTCTTTTATTTTCATGCTTTGTGAGATTGAAAGGTATGTGGCCTATTTTATGCGATACTTTTTTTTTTCTTTTTGTGACAAGAAGCTTAGAAGTTACAACCTACCTATTAATACTAATATTCAGTTTAAGCTCCTGGCTCCCTTTTGTATATAATAGAATGCCTTATTGCCAAATGAGTTTTGCTGGATACAAATGCTGTCATAATGAGAAGAGTAGCAAAAGGAAATTTAAGACATGGGGAATATAATACTTCGCTACGTTTAACTTGCCTGTATCTCCAGTTTTTTAGAAAATTTAATTTAATGTGCTCTATCAGACAAACAATACCCAGTGTCATAGTTGGGTCTGGGGAGGGTAGAGTGTATGCAGATCTTACCTCTACCTTAGGAGTTAGAGAGGCTGTTTTCGATAGACCTTTGGCTCATGGAATGTGTTCTACCAGACCAGTAGTATAGTTAAAAAACTCAATTTCATATATTCCTTTAGTAGCTTGTTATGTGTCTGCTCCAGTGTTGTGAAAGTCGCTCGCCATAGCGCCTTTGGCGAATGGCGAGGCAAGTCTGTGTCGCCATTATCCACTGAGGCGTGGCGACCTCAAATAGGCGAGCCGAGGCAACCCGAGGCGACCCAATGGCGACGTAAATGGCGTCGCCATTTTGATTTTTTTTTAAAAAAGTTTTAACTTAATAATATATTTTTTTTTCTATTTTCAAACTTTCATCAGACTTTCGTGTATTCCTCTTCTTCTCTTCCTCAGTCGCTGCTCTCTTCTTCTCTTCCTCAGTCGCTGCTCTCTTCTTCGTCTCTTTCCCTCGAGTTGCTGCTCCATTCGTCTCTTTCTCTTTCACTCGTCACTATCCCTGCCTTCACTACTCTTTTTTTCCTCTGTTTTCTTCACTCTCTGTTTTGTCCCGGATT